CCTCATGACTACCTTAATTTTATAGCTGGAAGTTCGTACCCCTTCATCCACTTCACTTGTGTCATGCATGCTGCCACCCTCTTCTCCTCTGGTAACTGCCAGCATGTGCTCTCTATGAATCTGCCTCTGCCTTGTTGTGTTCATTTGTTTTGTGTTTTTGATTCCACATATAAGAGAGCAGTTGTCTTTGACTTATTTCACTTAGCACTTTGAGGGCAAAGTTCCTTCATGTTGTTGAAATGGCAGGATTTCATTCTTAAATTTATGGATGAGTAACACTCCTCTTTGTATGTGTGTGATTGTATGTGGGTGGGTGTTTGTTCGTGTGTGTTCTGGGTTAGGGAACATAGACAGGATAAAACATTGCCAATTCTTATTTTTTCAAGTTTTCAGTATCAAATTATGTTTTCCTGAAATGGATGCACTTTAATCTTTGTGGTTTAACTGGTTCAGACTGTGGAGAAACAAATACTTTCCTTATTACAGATGGCATTTTTTTTGTTTTTTTTCCCAGATTGTATTTTCTTTTTAACCAGTGAGGATTTCTTTTATGACTTATATTTAATTTGTGTGTGTGAAGTCACTCAGTTGTACCCGACTCTTTGCGACCCCATGGACTGTAGCCTACCAGGCTCCTCTGTCCATGGGATTCTCCAGGCAAGAATACTGGAGTGGGTTACCATTTCCTTCTCCAGGGGATCTTCCTGACCCAGGGATCAAATCCGGGTCTCCTGCATTGGAGGCAGATGCTTAAACATCTGAGCCACCAGGGAAGTCCTCTCCAACCTTATAGGAAGTCAGTTTATTGCTAGAGATAGATGCATAGGGAATTTAATTGTAAATGGTGGGTGCTTTTCTGAAAATGGTATGTTCATTAAGTGGTATGTTCCATAGCCTCTGTTGTCTCTTTAATTTTCTGTTAATGAATGGCACTATTTGTGTGACATTGACGTAAATTCTGTTTTGGAAGCATAAATAAGTGATGATTATAACATGGATAAACTGGGAAAATTGTATTTTCCAAGAATGAATGTTACTTAATGAGTATTTCCTAAAGGAGAAATTTCTTAACTTTTGATTGAGAGTGACAGAATGAAATGGTTCAATCTAGGTACTTTCAATAGAAATATAAGAAAATCTTTTATATCAAAAAATAATATGTAGGTGAAAATGTTAGTTTATCAGACAATTGAGAAATAGTGCTATATTTTCCTTTTAATTTTGTTTACTGATTCTTAAAAGAGTTAATGATACCACTTTTTATGCCTGGTACATTTCTGGACTATGGGAAAATATTGCTGGACAAAACATACATGGTTATAGGTATGTTTGAACTGTTGATTCAGTGATTGATTGAATCAGCATGTTGAACTGTTGGTTCAAAAATATTTTCTTAAATCCGCTCATGCTTCTTGAACCATTGGTTCTTCTGCCTAATTATTACTGTTTTGTCCTTTTAGGCAGAGTCTTCCTGTCAGGCGCATTTAGAAAGCCTGTGACTTTACCTCTGGGTCATGTTTCTGCCTGCTGTCTAACAGTTGTGGTTGCAGAGGTGTGTGGTCCCTCGTATGTCTCCCTCTGTGGATCATACACCTGGCAGGCTTCCTTATTTTCTCCTTGAATGTGTGTTAGGGATGATGGCTTATCTAGCACAGAAAGACTGTTTGCAAAAGACAGTTAATGTTTTAGTTTTCACTCTGCCAAATAAAGTGATCACCATTTACTGACCTGGGCCAGTGCATTCTTTTTTTTTGAAAACTCCTTTATATTTAAATTTTGAGTCAATTTATGAATAATTTACAGAACAAATGTTGTAAGTCCATTATGTTAGAAATTTTAATGTGAATTTAAGCATAGCAGTGACATAACTCTTAATGTCAAGTGAATTTTGATGCACAGATATCATAGAAGTTGAAAGAATGTCCAGGTTGTTGCAAAATTTGATATAATGAAGTCCTTTCAGTTGAATGACTGACTAAAGTACCATATTTTCTTTTGTCCTTAAAAATTTATTAGTTACTCATATTTTTTTTAACAGATGGATATAATCATCAGTCTGAGATGTCATATTAATATATGTGGGCAATTTCACCCGCGTTACTAGAATCTCACGTGCTGCATGCTGTTTGTTTACAGCCAACATTTGATGCGTCTAATCATAGTAAAAAATCTTTGTCAGTTTTCTCTTTTCTGTTATGGATGAAAAGTGGAAAATATGAAATTCTTACATATATTCAATGAAAACAAAATGCCAAAATCAGCAAGCTTTTAAATTATTTTTTTTTCTACTGAGGTATAATTGATTTAAAATGTTATATGAATTTCAGGTATACCACATAAAGTACCTTCTTTAAAGATGATGCAACAATCTGGGCAACATAACATAAAAACTAGATAATGATTTATTTCACTACTGTGTCAACATCGTAGGTCAGTTGTTGACAAATTCGACTTAGTGGCTGCCTGTTTTTGCAAGTAAATTTTTTTTTAGCACGAATCTATATTAAGTCATTTACACATGGCTGCTTCTGTGTTGTAAAATAGTTGAGCTATGGGAAAGACAGTGTGGTCCATAAACTTAAAATATTTACCATCTGACCCTTTAAGAGAAAGTGTGCCAACTCCTTTTCTCGGTCGGTGTTTCTTTTATTTTCATTTTTTTTTAAAAGCTGTATTTTTAAAATTTCAGACTTTTCTAGTGTGGTAGGATTAAGAATGATGAGAGGCACTGATGAAGTAATACCTAGGAGTTTGAAGGAACTCTGTCTCAAGATAGAGGAAAAATAATACTGAGATCCTATATTAGAGTTATGAAAAGGTTCAATAAATCCATAATGTAATTGCAAGATGGAATGAGTTCTATTTCATTACTAAAGCGTATAATAACATTTTTTCCCTTTGGAAGACCTGTAGGACAGAATAAGAAGACTCTGAACAATTGATGATGAAACATCAACCCTTATAAATAAACTAAGGAAGTTTAACTGTTGTTAACTATAGCAAGTTTATCCATACTAAGGACAAAAACCTCAGACAAAATGGGTCCAGTTGTTCCTGATGGTGTTTATATATCCAGTGTTAATTCTTGTAAGTTCATACATTGTTACCTCATATTTTTCAAAAGTCATGGATTTTAACATTTAATCTGTCTTGGCTAGTTTTTTTTTTTTTTTAATAAGAAACATTTTTAAAAATTGAGATGATGTTATGAATCTCCTCCCTTTTCTATTTTATTGAGATATAAAATTGAAGTATAACACTATATTAGTTTCAGGTGCACAATAGTATGATTGATATTTGTATACATTGAAAGATCACAACAATAAGTCTGATTCACATCTGTAACCATACATAGTTAACAAATCTTTTTTTCTTTTTTTTTCCTTGTGATGAGTACTTTTAAGATCTACTCTCTTAGCAATTTTCAGATGTCCAAGACAGTGTTATTAATTATGGTTACTGTGCTGTACATTAAGTTCCCATGACAAATTTGTTTTATTGCTGAAAGTTTGTGTCTTTTTACTTCTTCACCTTTTTCACCTACTCTCTCCCCAGTCCCACCTCTGGCAGCCACCAGTCTATTCTCTGTATCTATGAGCTTGGTTTTGTTTTGTATTGATTTGATTTTAGATTCCACATGTAGATGAGCCCATACAGTATTTATCTTTTTCTGACTTAACTTGACTTAGCATAGTGCCCTCAAGGTCCATCTATGTTGTTGCAAATGGCAAGATTTTGTTCTTTTTAAAGGTTAAGTAGTAGTCTATTGTGTGTATTTATCTTCTTTGGAATCTCCTCTTAACTCATTTTAAATGCTCAATCCACATTATTCTCCCCTACTGCATTATTTGACACTGGCTATAGCAGTTTTTTTTGTTGTTGTTACAAGTCATAGTTTGTATAGCATGAGTTTGTTTTTTTAAGATAGATATTTGGATTTGCTGTTTGCTTTCTCTGGAGTGTGAAGAATCTTTTGATTTTCCAGTTTCTGTTGTTAAAGTGATGCAGCTGAATGTATCACTAAAATTAAAAAATCACTAAGAAAACTGGCAGACTAAGGGTAGTTTGGAGGTATTACATAGATGTGTCAGGTAAGTGTATGCTCCTCGGTTCTTTGTCTCATCACAACAAAGATTTGGAGTGGTGGACATTAAAGCCCCTTGGCGGGTCATAGCTCTTGGAGGACAGACCGTGTTACAGCTCTTAAATAAATCACTGTTACAGCTCAGTGTTACAGCTCTATTTATATAGATGATAGCAGGGAAATCCATCTTCGAGATGTGGGGGCACTTCCATCCAAAGAGGGGAAGAGAAGAGCGCCCCATCGTGTGGGGGAGAGAGTGCGTGAAGAGGGCTTTGGCTCCTCTTTTTATATGTTTTTTTTGTTCCCCCTGGGCCTGTCCTTTGCAAATTGGGCTTAGGCCGGAGTGCTGTGCTGTTAGTTTTATCTGAGGTTCTCACTCCGGTCCTCGGACCTTCCTCTGTTTTATTTTCGCGGGTTTTCCCTTCCAGGTCTTTTAGCCACCGCCATTTTGAACTCCTTTTCCCTATTCTAACTACCTAACAGATGGAACTTCCAAATATTAGTGTGAAAAATGTATGTTGTGATCTCCTAATTGTTCATATTATCACTTAAATTTTTGTTAATCATCATAACCAGGGTTATTTTGTTCCAACAGCTTTGGGGGGAGAATTTAGTTTGTGCTGAGGCACATAATACAGTCATTGATTTCAAAATGTGATTATAAGAGAATGAAAATTCTTAGTTTGACAGAAAATTTTTCCTTTTACAGTAAGGTTAAGTATTTTTAGGTGACTATTTTTCCTTGTTCTTAGCAATTAAAAGTCAAGTAAGTTTTAATTTTAAGAGATTATTAAATAAGTATGTATTTCTTTTGGTATGGAGTTAGCAGGACCATTAAAATGAGCTATAATCTGCTTTTTAAAATGTATTCATAATAAAGGGAAGGTCATAAATCTTTTGTCTTTGTTTTTTTAAGGCCAGAGGAGCAGATGTTCCAGAAATTCCTGGAGACCTTAGTCTTAAGACATGTGGCAGTACAGCCAGTATGAAGGTTAAACATGTGAAAAAGTAAGTATAATATTACAGTGAGTTTTAAGTGAGTTCCAATAAATGAAAATCAGTTCTTTAGTTCTCCTAAAACTTTTATCCAGATTTCTTACTAAATGAGCTCTTACTGTCCATACGTTGGATAATACTGTTGTGACTCAACTGTTAGCAGAACAAGTCTGAAGATTACATGTCTAAAAATATACTTTAATTTTGTTCTTGGAATAACTTTCATGTCATTTTCTGTTAGGTTGCATTTGTTCAATAGTAACAATCCAAGTATATCTTTTTTGGTACCTTTAATACATGCTCTCAGTCATTTCGAAAAGTCAGTTTTGGTATTTTGAGTTAGGATATCGCTGTTTCTCAGCTCTGCATTTGAGAAAGCCTGACGTGGATGCCAGTGTTTGACTCTGAAGTGAAGTATCTGAAGGTATCCATTTCAGTTTTAGATAGAAAAAGCATCTTTTCACTTGGTAAAGGGTTAGATAGCTATGTTTTTATCCTAAAGTGGAGGAAAGACAAGGATAAAATTTTCATTCTGCATCCAGACCCACCAATCCAGGACTGATGGGCTGTGACAACATTCACAGGTAAACGCTGGTTTTGTGTTTTGTGGTGGGAATGCCGCTTCTGCTTAGAGCAGGCTGTTCACAGTCTCCATGACATTTATTAAAAGCATAGTTTTTCTAGGGCCATTGACATGGGTCAAGATCAGGAGAGTACTGTAGCAATGCTTTTTATTTTATTATTTTGTTTTGGTTTTGACCTGTGCACTGAATGTAATTTCCATTTGATGCTCTGTGTTTCTGAAAAGGTTTGAGTGGATATATGTGCTCATGCGCATGTGCTTATTAAATCGTTTTGCTTGTTGCATGAGCTCTTAAACCTGTTTTATTTCCTCCTCAGACTTAGTAATTTTGACTGTTCCAGGATCTTGTATCTCACGTATTTCTTTTTTTTTTATTTTTATTTTTTACGTATTTCTTGTACTTCAGGTTACCCTTCACTAAAGGTCACTTTCCGAAGATGGCTGAATGTGCACATTTCCATTATGAGAATGTTGAGTTTGGCAGCATACAGGTATATTTGAGATACTTTCTACATACTAAAGCGAGGCGTATTTATGTCTTATCTGTATATCTCATAGGTGACACCTGGAAGTAGTTTTTCCTATTGATGTCTTGTTGGTTGATGTGAAAATTTCTGTTCTTTTCTATTGACCCTCATTTGACATGTGATGACTGCTATTTCAAGTAATATTTCAAGAAACAGTATAATCCAATCAGTATAAATTTCAGAATTTCTATCAGATTCCTAGACTGTTCTGCAGCATGAACTGCTTTAGTTGTTACCTGACTCCCGTTGTTGGGTCATAGTGATGATTAATCACTATGTGATGGATTAATCAGAGTCAGGATGAAGGTAGAGTAGGATTAGGGAGAGAAGTGCTAATGGAATTTGTTTTCAATGTTTTTCTTATTGTGAAGCATATTATGTGTAGCTCTGTATATAAAACACATACATTTATACATATATAGTATATACATATTTATGTACATTTTAAAGTCCAGGTTAAGAGAGAAATTTCTTGTGTCCCTCTTATTATTGCATTTGCCTTCCCTACCCCAGAGGTTACTTATACCATTACTTTTGTAGTATTTATTATCTTATATCTTTTAAATAGTTTTACTGTCTATATGCATTCCTAATCAATATGGTATTTAGCTTTACTTGTTCTTGAGCTTTTATATAATTGGAATTATTCTAATTTGCTCAGCAAATATTTACTGAGCAAGTACTAGGTATGAGGCACTGTTTTAGGTGCTTTGGCTGTGCTAGTGAACAACAGCAACCAAAATCAAAGGCCCATTCTTAAACAGCATAGAAGATGTCCAGGAACATAAGAGCTATTGTAAAAAGAGTAGAGCAGGGTAAGAAGGGTCAGGGGTCACTGGGGTTGGGTGGGTAGCCCACCCATCAAACCAGGGTGGGCTTCCTTATTGAATGTATTCTTTCTTGCTTCTTTCATTTAACATTGTGAAATTTATTCCTGTGGATGTATATAGATATAGTTTGTTCAGAGCTGTGTATTAATTCATAGTGTGCATATGTCACAGGTAATTTACCAATTCTTTCATTTGTCTGAAATTTGGGTCATTGTCAGTTTTTGGCTTTAAGTTTAAACAGCATCTCAGTGAACTTTATTTTACATGAAACCTGATGTACAAATGCCAAACTACTTTTTAAAGTGATTTACAAATGTATACTTCCATAAACAGTAAACAGTAGTTGTCCCACATTCTTCCCACATTCTTGGTTGTTTGATACTTGTTAATTTTTACCAATCTGATGGGGACGTAGTTCTCTCTTGCTGCATTTTAATTATCAGTCTCCTAATTTCTGATCCAGTTGCTCATCTTTTCAAATGTTTATTGGACATTTGAGAGTCATAGTTTTTTAAACTCTAGATCAGCCTTTTGCTTGTTCTGTTTTATAGATTTGCTTATATTTTTCTTATTCAGTCATGGAAATGCTTTACATATTTTGGATGCTAGTCTTTTCATGTTGCATCTAGTCCTTTGTTGTTTTTGTGTGTGAACTGAAAATACTTTCTCTCACACTGTGGCCTGTTTTTTTTTTTAACTTTATTCTGCTTTTAATATGCAAATTATTCTATTCTTTATTTTATGTAATTGTATATTTGTATAAATCTTCCAACTTGTGGTTTCCCTATCATATTTCAGATATCTTCCCTACTCTGAAGTTATGAAGAGAATGTCCACATTTTTTTTCCTAAAGGTTTCATAGTTTTGACTTTAACATTCAAGTTACTTGTAATGGTTATATATGAACTTTGTTTATATATGAACAAGTTACTTGTATTGGTTATATATGAACTTTGTTATATATGAGCAAGTTACTTGTTATATATGTATAGTGTAAAAGGAGCAATGTTGATAGTTTAGAACCCCTAGTGTGATAACCAGTCAGTGGACATAAACTATAAGCACTGGAACTGAGCCCTGATGCCCTTCTCCTGTGCAGAGAACTGTCCCTATAGTAGTATGGGTCATTGGTGAAGCAGTATTTCAATATTTTAAAACTGTGGTACCCACCAGCCTTGTAGAAAAGAGTACTACCTTATTTTAAAGTGTGACCAGCTATATTAGTCAGAGTTCTGTAGTGAAACAGAACAAAATTGTGTGTGTGTGTGAATGTGTCAGGACTATGTGTGTGTGTGAATATGTGTCAGGATTGTGTGTGTGAATATGTGTCAGGATTGTGTGTGTGAATATGTGTCAGGATTGTGTGTGTGTGTGAATATATGTAACGATTGTGTGTGTATGAATATGTGTAAGGATTGTGTGTGTGTGTGAATGTGTGTAAGGAGTGTGTGTGTGTGAATATGTGTAAGGATTATGTGTGTATGGATATGTGTAAGGATTGTGTGTGTGTGTGAATGTGTGTAAGGAGTGTGTGTGTGTGAATATGTGTACAGAGAGAGGCTTTAAGGAGTTGGCTCATGTGGTTGTAGAGATTTCATGGGTCCAGACTCCCCAGAGCAGGCTAAAGACCAAAGGAAGAGCTGGCGTTGCAGTTTGAGTCCTAGGGTAGGTACTCTGCTGTGAGTTCCCCCTACTTCATGGGAGGCCAGTCTTCACTTCTGTTCAGACCTGCAACTGACTGGAGGGTAACCTTTGCTCCCTCCCCTTCTCCCCTTCCGTTATGAAGGGTAATCTACTTTACTCAAAGTCTACTGAATTAAATGTTAATGTCATCTCAAAAATAGCAGTAACATTTGGAATGATGTTTGACGAAAAGTTGATACACAAAATTAAGTATCACAGTCTACCCCTTTTCAGCTTGGCACTCCTTAAACCACACTTATCACCAAAAAAACAATAATAAGGTCATATTTCTGTCTATCGTGATTAGCTATTTTTTATGCAACTGAAACCACTAACCTTTTTCCTAGAGAAGGATGCAAAGTCCGTGGGTAATGTTTGCTCTTCTTGATAACCCATAACTAAAAAACTATGATGTAAAGTTAAAAATACTTAAATACCATGATATACATCTTACATCATATAAGGCAATAAGAGGGGGAAGAAAACAAAAGTATTTGCTTTTTGTGCATGCATGCCTGCATGCGTGCACACACATACACAAAAACATATTCATAATAAAATAAGGGGTAAGTACTCGTGGCAAGTATAGTTCTTGGTTCTGTAAATGGTCAGGTTGTAGGTGGTGTTACAGTTGCCTTTATCCACTACTCATTCTATATTTTCCTCAGCAAGAACTTCAGCTGATTGTGTTCTTTACCTGGTAAGGTGACCCACATCTTCATTCTGGGTCTGGCCATTAATAGTCCTGCATGAATTGGGTTCTTGTTATTTTCCATTGAGTTTATGATCGGGCATGGTGATACTAAGAGACACCCTGGGGGGGTCCCATATATTCAGACTACTCTGCATTATTTCCATCACAGTACAGTTGACCAGTTTCCCCCATAGTGAGTATCAGTCGTACCAGCTAACAGCATAATTCCCTTCTCTGCTTCTTGATTTAAAGGTGTAAGGAACCCAGAGGAGCTCAACAACAGTCTTAACTTCCAGTTCTGTGTCTTCTAGTGGAAACATTCCTCCCTTTGGAACTAAGACCTCTAGGCCAGCAGAGTATATAGTTGTGATGACAGGAAGCACCAATTTTGCTAGTGAGTCACTAAGAGTAACACTTGAGTGGTGCCACTCCCATTTTCCACCCCCTTGATTCCTGGTTCTTCAGTCTGACTAAAGACATGAATGACTCTGTATCTAATAACAAAGAGAGCATGGGCGATCCATGGCTTGAGGGGTCTATGGAGACACCCATTATAGTGCCCTTGGGTACTTGGAGTCAAACACTCGTGAGAGACAAGGTTTCTGGACTAACGCACATATGATATCTTTGAACATTTTTGTCAAACCAATGAATATAGTAAAATTTTCATTTCCCTAATGATTAGTAATGTTCATCATCATTTCGTATACTTACTGTCATTTGGCAATTTGAAATCATCTTTGGAGAAATGTTTAGAAATCCTTTCTGCATTTTTAAATTGAGTTGTTTAGTTTTTTTGGTGGTTGAGTTTTAGAAATTCTTTATATAATAGCCTGTTGTGCTTTTAACTTAAAGTGAGTCTTCTTATAGGCAGCATTATAGTTGGATCATGTATTTTTTTAATCATTGTGTTCATCTTTGTCATTTGATAGTCAAGTTTAATCTTATTTCATCCATAGTGATTACTGATTAGAAAGAATTATTTGTCATTCTGCTATTTGTTTTCTATATATATTATAGATTTCTTGACCTTTATTTCTGTATTAGTCCTGTCTTGCTTTTAGTTAATATTTTGGTAGTGAAATATTTAAATTCCTTTCTCATTTCCTTTTGTATCTATCTATAGATATTTTCTTTGTGGTTACCATGGGGATTACATTTAACATCCAAAAGCTATGACACTAATTTTACCAGCTTAACTTGAATGACATACACAAGTTCTGCTCCTTTACAGCCTGATCCTCACACCTTTCAGTTGTTGATATATAATTACATCTTTTTACATTGTGTGCTCTAAAACATAAACTAATAATTCTTTTGAATACATTAGTCTCTTAAGTTATGTAGAAAACAAAATGTAGGGTTACAGACTAAATTTCCAGTACTCACTTTTAGACATAATTTTGAAAAAGTATTAGTTTCTTAAGTCATGTAGAAAACAAAAATTGATTATAGAGTGTTACACAAAAATCCCAGCTTTTATGGTTGCCCATGTGTTTACCTTTACTGAGGTCTGTCTTTGTATGTTTTGTAATTCTTCTCAAGTGTCCTTTTCATTGCAACCTGCAGGACTCCCTTGAGAATTTCTTGCAGAATATGCCTGATGTTAGTGAACTTCTTCAGCTTTTGTTTATTTGGGAATGTCTTATTTTATGTCTCACTTTTGATGGGTGATTTGCCAGATATAGTATTCTTGGTTGACAATTTTATTCTTTTAGAAATTTGAATTTGTTGGCCCACTGCCTTTTGGCCTCCAA